TGCCTTGTGGACCATAGAGCAACATGCCATAGGAAGGATCTATAGCAATCTACTTGTACAACTCATGATGACTCAGAGGTAACTCAACGGCTTCATAAATTTCCTGCTTTTGTATATCGCATCCTCCAATATCAGGATAAAACAACATAAGCTCAAAGACTAAGAAATTAATAAGGCGTGTGCGATGGTGGATAAATAGTAGGAAATGATCTCCATTCATGAATCGTGGAAGATGGTCTCTTTAGCACAATCAACTTCAAATTATACATAGTGAAATAATATATATGAAGGTAAGAAAAAATTATTTACCTTTGGAACTTGATGCAACCATGGAAATCTACAGATGTGTAAAGTTGAATATGAAAGAAATAGAACCATATCAAGAATAGTACATTAAGTTAATGCAAAGATGATCTGCGGCTATTTCAATATGGATCCAGTTAATTTTCAGAGTGTTATCTAATTGTCACTGTCCAAGCCACCTTACATTAACCTAGACAATGAACCAACACAAGTATTTGGTAACTATACTCACCAACCTTAAGCAAACAGGGAAAAAAATATCTCAAACTCTACTGGAATTTGAACCTTCCAAACATTCAAGTGAGCTCGTAAAGACGAACTATGATCTAATTCCTGGTTATCACATAATCTAGCTAAGGAATCTATTTTCTCACCACTCTTAATAACACCTAATTGATCTGATCATTCTCTCATTCTTCAATAGGACGGGATAGGACTGTAGCTCAGAACTGAAGCAGTAACTCACATAATATTATTCTTACGAGAAATCTGAATGCACGGGGAGTTGGAAGATATGACGGAATATTTCAGAGCGTTATCTAATTGTGTCCAAGCCACCTTAGATTAACCTAGACAATGAACCATCACAAGTATTTGGTAACTCTACTCACCAACCTTAAGCAAATAGGCAAAAAAATATCTACACTATTTTGATCTAACTCTACTGAAATTTGAACCTTCCAAACATTCAAGTGAGCTCGTGAAGACTAACTATGATCTAATAATGAACCTGTTTTCTCACCACTCCAAATAATATTCAGAATTCCATACCCAACAAACATTCAAGTGAGCTCGTGAAGACGAACTATGAGATTTAAAGCACCCAAATACGAGTATTTCATGGCTAATCCATAGAACAAATCGACCATTCAAGTGAAAAAACAACTACGTGTATACATGCTATATATGGTCATTTGCAAGCACTTTAACTCAACATAAGCAAACCTGTATCAATAACTTTGAGATTTTATTTTTATTTTTTATTTTTTAAATTAATTGATTGCGAGCTATTGCATAGGAGCGGGGTTTTACCCTGTGCATCCAAAGGGTAGCGGCTGCGGGTTTCTCTTATCATAAAAATAAAATAAAATTACCTGATTAAAGGAATAAACTTAAGTTGTCAGTTCAAGAAGTTTATGAAGTTGGTCAAATTTTTAGTTGCAATATAATTAGCATTTCAAATTGTGGATTATTTGTGAATAATGAAGAAGCATTTATACACTTTCAAGTAAGATTTATTCTTCATATTCCCTCCAAATGGGATATAACTTGGAATGTTACAACTCTATAGAGAAAAGTTATTGATTCAACTTGTGACTGTAGATGTCAGAAAAATCTTTCATAATTCATATTTACTTCAAGTTTGAACTTACAATTTGTCTTTAGAAAATTATAGTCCATAAATATCTAACAACTCAAATAAAGCTCAAACTGCATCATATTTACTTCATTATCTCTTATTAAAATGCTACAAATATTGAGAATTTTCATGATCTGTACCAAGTCAAGTATGTGATTATAAAACTCGCTTTGCTACTTCTCTTGTCCGCATAAATTAGCTTAGCGTGACCAACTCTAAAGCTAATAGTTCATAGATTTTGTCTTTAAGTCCATTCCCTCATAAGGTAGGAGTAAGTCTAAGCAGACACTACCCTCCCCAGACCCATCAACAAATTCAAATAACAATAATTTAGCTAATAGGATGTATTGGCAGAAGGATGTACTCTAATTTAGTTAGCAACCAAATCCAAACACACAACAAAACTATTCTCATAATTAGAATACAATTAGGACAAAATGTAAACTCCATCACATCTTTGCTAGCTTTTTATTTTCCGCTTTCAAAAGGGTCTACATTAACACTAAGAAGTAAGAACACTATAATATGATGATGATCTTTCTTTTAAGCTCCTGCTCCATCAACGAATTCCCCCAAATAACAACAAATTAGCAAAATGATATGCTCTAATTTCGATTTTTCATGGTAAAAAAACTTCATCTCCATTCAGTTAAAGGATGTACTCTAATTTTGATATTTCATAAACAACAAATAAACTTTATCTCCATTTTAGGTTTTCACTTTTCTAAATCTCAAATCAAGAAACTATGATAATTGAACAAAGAAAGCAAGAAGAAGCGGCTACATATGAATATTTCTATATTTATCATTTTATTACTAAGTCTTGAATTGGGCAAACCTGAATTTTGGATAATGAATAAAGTTTTTGAGATGAACTGAAGGAAAAAACGAATGAAGAATTAGGCAAACCTGAAGTGTAATCCGCTATGAAGAGTAAGAGACCATTTTTGAGCGGTGGACTTGAGGTTGAGAGTAAGAAAAGAGAGAAGGAGCTATGGATGTTTCTAGTCTAGTCTAGAAATAAGTCCTTGTCTGGGTTGTTCAGTAGATGCTTCTAGGCTTATAGCCAGGCATTTACTATTTTGCCCTTCAATTATATCAAAATTTTCAGAATTGCCCTTGGTCGTCTGGTTGGCTTCATCTTTCTATATAATAGAAATAGAAATATAAAATAAGTTAGTTACTAAAATTAATAAAAGAGGTTCAAACAGAGAGTTTACGTATAACAGATAGAATAATTTTTAAGAAACTATTTATATTTTACTGTGAGATTGTAACAAAGCTAAGTTAATATTTTCTTAGTTTTATTGTTACTCATTAGTTGTTTAGTTTTCTTACTAATATTTTTGTTTAATTAGAATGATATTAATTATTAATATGTTAACACTATAAAAATGTGTTCATTTTAGCAGAAGTTTTATGTCTAACAATAATTTTTTTTAGGTTTGTACATAAGAATATTTTCATATATGATGGTAGAGATTTATGATTAAAGTCATAGAATTAATATTTATTTGAAACCAAACGCTAATTAAACTTAAAACCACTAAACCTGTAATAAGGTCATCAAACCAATAATTGAGAAGAGAGCATTTGCAGCTTAAATTGAAGTGAAACCGCCAAATTAACCGACACGAAAATTGCCTACGGACATTATTAGAAATCTAAAGTTTTGTATAATTGTACGATAATTAGTCGTTTGAGAGTCAAATATTTTTAATTTTAATCAAGATATTGTACATGAAATTTTTATTATTTTAAATAAAAAATTATATATTTATAACTAAGTAAAAAGTAATATAAGTTACAATAGTTGAAATTTCGAACTATTTAAAAGATATATGATTATTTTTTTTGTCAAAGATAGATTTGTTTGAATCTCGAAATTCAAAATGTATCACATAAATTGGAACATAAAGAATATTTAACAACAACTATTTTATTTGTGAATTTAAGACTTCATTATCAAATTTAACTAATTCGAATCATATCCAAAATTATATTATCTCTAAAATATTTGAGCAGCCAAGTTAATTGGTTGAACAAGAAGTATGTTGTGGTGGAAGATAAAGATGAAGATACCTGCAGAGTTTTTACTTTGGAGTGAAATTAACTTTACCCTTTGCAGAATGCAGAGCCAGGAATATAAAAAAGGCAGACCAAACTTAACTCTGCGTGCCTCAACTAAAAAGTGAAGTCTTCGAAAGTTACGAACCAAAGCTTTCTGTACAAACTGATCTCATAAAAACTTGTTCACTGGAGTAATCTTTACTCAATCTTTTTGTTTTTCTACCCGCTGTCCGAAATATTACTAAATTTAAATCACGTATTACAAGCAAATTCGGTTCTTTTTCATTACACTTTTTCTCCATTTTTTAAGTACACGTTTAGTAGATGAACAACACTTGTCTAATATAATTTTTATAGGTCCAGATTACATTAATTTAATAAGTTTTAAATTATGATTAAAATTTTAAATATGGAAATCACTTTTTAATTATAGTATGCAATATCAATCTCCCCACATCCACATATGTATTTTGATACTACTCATTAATTTCAATTTGTAAATTTTACATTGATAAGACATATTTAAAGTTTGTTAATATGTTCAAAAAATTTAACTAATCAATAGCATCAAATTTATATTATTATCACGATAATTTTCCCCATTTTTTTTTCTTTCATATATTCTCCTTCTTAGCTAAATTAAATTAAATGGAAGAGAATTAATGTTAATACTATCACGGATAATTTCAATACTCTACTTTACTTTTTATGTCAATTGAAAATTAGAACTATTATTTCACTTCCAAGTGTTACTTCCCTAATCCCTCGTATGTTCTTTAATTCAATTTTCAGATTAATTTTAGAATCAATTTTCTAAAATTTATGATCACAAAATGTTTTTCTTATTTATACTGATACTGATTTAGGGAAGGGGTAGGGAAGTTTATTGATGAAATTTATAAGCTGAAATTAATGAGTATCAAGTCTAATGGAGATGGGTCAAATCCATTATAAGCGCATTCGAAGGTGAAAGTCTCAACAGAATTATTTTCATACCAAATTTTGAACATGAGTAAAATAGTTTCACCACTATACCATAATTTTTACGCAATCTTTATTCAACCATTCTTATTGCAACACACTTTTTTTTTGCATTAACTTTGTGTGTCGGGTTTTATAAATTGCCAGTTTAAAGTTGGACTAACTAAACATCCAATCAGCTACATCATTTAACTTTTTTTATAAAATTGATAACAACAAATAATTTTATTTCACTTTTAGAAAATATAAATGTATAGAAGGTGATCATATAAATGGATGAGCTAGCTAATAGTGTAGTAGTTTAAGTCCCAAAACAAAAATAAATTCCCCTCAGCAATAAACATCCAAAAAGAATCCAAGTACATGTGGGAAAAATAAAGCCATCATCATCCTCCTACTAATAAGCTAAAGTGATGGCATTTCATATTAATATAAAATATAGTGGCAAAAGCAAATGAGCACAAAATCACATAGAGATTTCTAATTCAGCAAGTAGAGGAGACCCCATCCAAACACTATACTTCCCATAATCATATTTGAAAATCTCATATTGCCCTCCACTCCACTCTGCACAATAAACATGCATAAGAATATCAACATATATATGTAGCTAGTATAATTAATCTAATATAGAGTTTTGAGTTTAATTATTGTGAGACATATATAAAAAAAGTTGGCACATGCATAAGAATCCAAATAAATGTAAATTAAACCCTTTCAAGCACCGTAAGATCCAATCTGATAATTAATATGCTGTGTTAGTCTGAGTTTTTAGTGAGACATGAAATGTTAGCACATGCATAAGAATCCAAACAAATACAAAATAGGGGATATTTGGGGTTCAATAATGTGGTTCTATATTCTATCTCTATAGACTTTGTTACCCACCATTATTCTTTCTGTCTCTTCAATTATTTGTTCTACAAAAATACTATACATAAAAAAAGATGTAAATCTACATGAAAATAATTTCAATAACTTTAAGTTCAATAATATCATTAAATTGTGGAAAATTATCATTCTCCATTTTGATTTATATTACAGCAACAACATAAAACAATTGGAATTATCAAAATTGACCTTTTTTATTGGACAACTTTATTATCATTATAACTATCAATAAAATAGATAAAAGTAACTGTTAATGGAATACAATTTTTAGGTAGAGGCAGAGTCATTATGGGCAAACAGAAAGCACGTGATATGTCCCAGTGAATAATCATAAATTATACTAATGACTAAGCAGTAATCACAGACTAAAGCTTGCATGCACTCGATCACACCTGATCACATCCCCACTAGGCACTAGCTAGGCTCAACACTCCACATTAGGCCTTGTCTTCACCATAGACACAATTAACGAGAAACTGGCTCATGTTAGGATTCCTATGCTAACTTTGACTATCATGCGCTCCATATCAATACAAAAAGAAAAAACAACGTAAATACCCACTTCTTACAAAATGTATGTTCTGAATATTCCTAATTTTGACACTCATATTCAAATTTGTCACATAAAATCGACGTAAGGTAGTAACTAGAGACTAAATCAAAATTAAAATTTAATGAATTCGACTTGCAAGTTTTACAATGTTGAATTAATCGTAATGTTAAAATTATGCTTTCACATCAACAAATTAAAATCTCACAAATGAGGTTCGAAGAAGCTAAAATGTATGCAGACAGGTTGAAAGAAGCTAAAATGTATGCAGACTCGTAGATCATAGAGTTAGACAGACAAATATTGAAAAATATACAATATGGTTTCAGATTTTAATTTTTTTTTTGAAGCATATCGTAACAAAAATCCTTTCCCCTAGTAGCAAATGAAAATGCATCATCAAATCCATAATGGTATGGTTACGGAATCAGAAAATGAAACTGAGATTTTAGCAAATTAATTAGTACCTGATCAGGGGCTGATGGAGCAGGAGATAAACCTGAGAAACCACTCGGTGATGGAGCACCCAAAGGTGGTGCTGGAGGACTCAACAATCCCACCGGCGAAGGTGCCGGAGATGTAGCTATCTTTGTCGTCGGAGTAGGAGCCGGAGCTGAAGCAGGTGGAGTTGCGACCGGTGCAGGTGCCGCTGCCGGTGGAGGTGGAGTACTCACAGGCGGAGGAGTAACTGGTGGTGGAGCACTCACTGGTGGAGGAGTAGCTGGTGGTGGAGCACTCACTGGTGGAGGAGGAGAAGCGGCAGGTAGTGGTGAAGTAGCCGGTGGAGAAGATACAGATGGAGGAGGTGAACTTACTGCAGGAGGTGGAGATGAAGTCGCCGGAGGTGGAGAACCGGTAGGTGCAGGGGTAGTGGATGTTGGTGGTGCGGGACTAGTAGTGGGTGACGTGGCAGGAGCTTGACCCCCTACACCGGCTACGATAATGCAGAGAAACCCGATCCAAAGAGCATTTTTCCGAGCCATTTTTATCACAATGTATTTTGCACACAATTTTTTTAAATTAAATTTCTTAGAAGAGAGAAGTTTAGTAGTGTGTGGCTATACGAGTGAAAGAGAGGGAGGAAGAAGGAAATATATATATAGGGGTTTGTTTGGGAGAAGAGTAGAAAAGAGGAAAAGGAAAGTAGAAAGGTGGCTGCTGAGTTGTGACTACCAAACAGATCCTGTTTGGCGTTTACTTGGGTTATGCTCATGTGATTTCCATAACTATAATAAATAAAAAAGTACCAATCTAATGATGTTCTGTTGTTGTCTTGCGTTAGTGAAAACTCTAGGGTTTTTACTGTTTTTTTTTAGTTTAATTAAAATCAATATTTTTTTTAACTTTAAAATGGGGGTAGGGGAAGGGGAAAGGATAATGGGTAGAGTACTATAATGTGGGAAATAAAACTTGTAATCAACTAATTAAGCTATTCAGATTTCTCAATTATATAATATACTTGGCATTATAAAAGGTTTTTTTTACTCTATCAAATTACCTCAAGGCATAACTACAAATGATTGACCATTATAATGTAAAATTTATGATTTTTAGTTGAGTTAAAACTAAGTATCAATTTCTTATAATGGTATCATAATCGTTTTAATTCATGATTTACCAAATGTTGAGCCCCTATTTTATGTTGAATTGTATGCATGCTCCGGGTGTCCGATTCTAAAGATACTCATATTTATGCATGGTTAATGAATTGTTTGATGTTGTTCGTAAATAATTTTGAATTATCCTCGCCTGATGAACTATTCTTTTATTTGAAAACTATGCTTCAATAATATTTTCTTACAAATCACTTCCCCACATGCACTAGACAGGACATTAATGTTGGCTTGGCCGTTGTGCTAGAGGAGAGATTGGCATGATCGATGAGATACAAAGTGCTAAAAAAAACAAAATGATGGTGGGCCTAATCACTTAATTAGGAGTAATTGGTAATTCCACTGTTTCAAAAAGAACGACATACTTTGACTTGGAACGAGATTTAAGAAAAGAAAGAAGACTTTTTAATTTTGTGATTCTTAAACATTGTCACGTGAAAAGTTGAAGTTAAAGTGTTGCCAAAAAAAAATGAATCATTCTTTTCGAAACATACTAAAAAGGAAACTAGACCATTATTTTTGACACGATTAGAGTATTAAAACAAACATCATGCGACATAAACCTTTTTGCTTGCATTGCAATCCAGTTTCCACTCTTTCCGCTTAAGAGAACAGTAAGGGGGGGAAAGCACACAAATGAGCTAATCTGACCTTCATTAAGTTCAACTTTATGGTTAATATATGTGATAATTAATTTATAGTAATTGAAATATTGAAAAGACAAGTTACCTAAAAATGATTTTAGTGTATGCATAATGGAACAGCTAGCAAGGGGAAATTGGGTGGTCCCTTTGATTAGACCCTAATCGCGTAGAGTAAAAGGAATTGTGTCTATTACTCTTAATTCCTTACACCTATATACTAGTAATGATTTGACATGAAATTAAAAAATGTTTCTTCCTTAACGTTGCCTTGTCATTTTCCTTATTTTCTTTCAAGCAAATCCTAAAAAAATACATAAAAATATGACCTATAATTCAAATATAGCAGAAGTTTTCCGCTAACCAAATATAACATACTTTTTTTTTTCTTCAAAACTTATATATAATTGTGCTTTGAATCTTGGTCATGATGTTATACATGAATGTTGTATAAACTCTGTATGAATCATATATGTATATACTATAGATGTTGAAGTTCCTTCAACTTCTTCGTATATTTACTTATTCACATTGCAATTTTTTTTATACTTTAATTAAACTATGTTACATAAATTAAAACGAATAGAATACTCAAATAGCACATGCAAGAGTGCTATCTCGGTGCAAACCATATTTTTCACTAAGAAACGGGTATTATCGTTAGCTATTATATGGGCTTGGTAACTTGACACTGTAGCAATGGATAACCAGCCCATTAGCGGCCCAAATTATGTAGATAAAAGGGCAATATGGTCAAAAAAACAGAAAGTCCAAAAGGCGCGGTTACCCTGAATTTTACGGACACAAAAAACCCTTTGCCACACTTATCTCTGCAAATTCAAAAATAGCAAAAGCTACAGAAAGAAGATAATGGCGGTGTCCTTGGGGTTATTCTCGGTATTCTCAACCGGCGAGACGGCGTCGTTTGCGAAGTCAGCTTCCTTCTCCTCCGTTAGGCTCGCGTCTCCGCTTGCGGCTCATCATACTAACTTGCGCACTGTGCGGACGGTCACTTTCGCGACAGCTTCTAAGCCGGCTGCTGAGCCGAAGAAGCGTGAACCTAGGGGGATTATGAAGCCGCGTAGGGTGTCGCCGGAAATGCAGGCTTTCCTTGGTGGCATGTCTGAGGTTCCTCGAACTCAAGCCCTCAAGTTGATTTGGGCACACATCAAAGCGAACGACCTTCAGGTAAACCCCGTTTACGCTCCACCGACTATCCCTATGAACTAACCAATATGTTATTGTGATTTATGGCGTTATTGGGGATATTTACTTGATTTTGGCTAAGGTGGCTTGTTTATATATTTGTGTGTTTTAGGTGGGTTAGCTCTAGTTAGTTTGATTATGCCAACTTGTCAATAGCTGAAGAGTTGATAATTGTTTCTTTCTGATTATAGGTTTAAGTTGTTTATTCATTAGTATTTTTCTGTGTTGTGTTGTAGTAATATTTGTTTTATGATTGGTTTGGTTGTCTAAAATATGGAGTTACCACTTATACTTTCTTAGTAATTAGATGTGTTGTAATATACTAGTATATCTTTATGTTGAAGCTTGTAAGGATGGTTTTTGAAGGTTATACTGGTTGGATATATCTTATATGCTAGAATCCTAATTTTTATTTGCACTTCTATGTTGAATTGGAGTACTTCCATTTCACTCACTTTGTTATCATTTTGGCAATGTTATAGTCTCTTAACATTCAACATAAATCTATGTCCTCTTTTGTGGTTGTTGAGGATTCAAGTTATCGCTTTTCACACTTTCTTGCTTTTTGTTTAGAATTGGTCACCAGATTCTTGCTGGCATCAAAACTAGTTTGCTGATGCAAAAGTGTAATCTGTAATGTGTGCAATACCTTGAGTTTTTATTTGTTGGGTGTCTTGCAAGAAATGCTTGTGAAATGAAAAGGTGGAGATTAAGACAACTAGAGTGTTCTGTAATTCCATTTGAGAAGTCTGTCTTAGTCTATGGTTTTGACTTCTGATGCATCTAAATCATTGTCATAGTTTCTGCATTTTATTATGCATTTGATGACAGCCAAACTAAAAACTGTGCATGATGCCCTTGAACTCTTTCATGGTCTTGCATACTGCTCAAAAAGTAGCAAGCTAATGATCTATGTTTTCGAGCTGTTAATTGATTATCACTCCTCTTTGAAACCAACCCTGGTGAAACCTAAATGCAATATCCTTTTCGTGCGGCAAAAACCTTACTTTTGACTGAAGATTTTCACTCTATCTGCAAGCTTTATGCCATTTGGTTTCCTTTTTGGTTTGTCAAACTCGATTCAGGATGTATAATCTGGTGAAAGATTGAGAACTTGTGTTAATTTAGTTTGGTGATATAGTTTCTGATTATAGTTGTCTATTTGTTTATCTATAAGCTGACTGGTAATCTCTATCATTTACCTGAGAAGGTCAATGGAAAGCAGGCAATGCTTTCTGCTAGTGATCTCTACTGTTTGTACTGCCAACTCTTTCGAAGTGCATTAACTGTTATTTGTAGTTTGCGCTATCCTACTCATTATTTTATTAATATGGTTAACAACTATCTATCTATAGTTGGTTTGATACTTAACGATATGTTGCTTTTGTAGGATCCTCAAAACAAGAAGGTCATAATTTGTGATGAGAAGTTGAAGACAATTTTTGGAGGAAAGGAACGTGTTGGGTTCCTTGAGATTGCTGGGTTGATTAGTCCTCACTTTCTTAAATGATCTATAAAGGAAAGCTTAAAAGGAGAACTCTTTTTTGTAAATTAGGCTCTAGGTTGGGTGATGGTATCTACTAGGAACAGTGCTTCTTTATTAGTTTAGCTTATCGAAACGTATCTGAAGGAGCCTTGAGCTATGAAGATCACACTTTTGTGATAGTTTTGATTTTGGTATTCAGATCTACATGTTATGGTTTTCCATGCAACATTAGTAGCCAGTGGATTGTCAATCATAAACATATTGCAGCTTTACATGTAAGCTATGTTCGGGGCATATTTAGAACAAATTTCAGTACTGAACTCTGATATGGTCAAATGTACTGAATATTAGGGTTTTTTTCCCTTTCATATGTATGACAATATCCAGTATATTATTTCTATGTTTAAAGTTTGTGAAATTATCAGTCCATTCACTTTACTTGCAGTACTAATAATCTTCTAGGTCGACCTCATCGGGCAAGCGGTTGCATAGAAACAGAGTTTTATCTTGTGCACATCTTAAGGGTAGTGGTTGTGAATTTTCTCATCAAAATAACAATGCTACAACAACCATCTTACCACTAACTTGTACTGTTAATTTTGGGTAGGATTCTTGTATATTTCATAGCCAGTTTTTCCTAGTATAGGAAGGATGAAAAGAAATTGGGATTAAACAAATTTGTTTCCCCTCCACCAAATTATTTTGGGAAAATATATTGATTTAAATTACAGCAGAAATGAAAAAGATTTAGATGATTTTATGATATAAAAGTTTTGGTGGGACATGAGAAAATAGCCAAATGACATTTCAAATTATTATTAGATTTTCAATTACTCACTTAACTATTTTAAAGCAGAGTTACTTGCTCTCAAAATGCTGAAGTGAAACTAGCCAACGATGAAATGTATAATTAGAATTGAGAAGCGATAATTGAAAATCCAACGATGAAATGTATAATTAGAATTGAGAATCGATAATTGAAAATTCGGTAATAAATCGAAAATCGAGAAAATTACCAAAATAAAAAAAGTAGATTAATTAATAAATAAATAAGAAAATATCTTTGGAACTCAAAATAACTGGCCACCATGGAAAGTGTAATGTAGTATTACCAAATACAAACAAGATAGGAGTTTTTTCGTTATTGCAGAAAGCTGTGAGACTCTGTTAATGGCGGACAAATTAGGTTTTCCTCTTCTACTACCAAACCCCCCACCTTCAAAATCCATCTTTCAAGACTTCACTGTTTCGTCCAATCAACCCTTCGCTCCATTCTTAAACGACCTCTTTCACCATCAAAATCCCAACACTTCTCCTAACTTCCCTTCTACTTCCACACAATCACCTCAAATTCCTCAATCCATTAATTTCCCTTCTCCAATCCCCAGAACACGACGGCGTATTATTGGCAAGGACAATGATTCCAACAGAGGCAAACCATGGAATCCTCATCGACTTTCCCCTCAAGGTGAGAAAATTCTTCAAACCCTTATCGGCCCGGAATTTCATGTCGATAATATTCACCAGATGTTGCTTAGTTTGTATACTGTGCATCGTTTAGAAGGTTCTGAATTGGATACAGAGTCTTTGAGTTTTGATATTTTGGGTATTATCAAGGGTTTAGGGTATTATAAAAAAATTGACTTAGCGTTCAATGTGTTTGAATGGGTGAGGAATCGACCTAATTCTGGGGTTCTGTTAAATGGTTCTGTAATTGCTGTGGTTATAAGTATGCTTGGCAAAGAGGGGAGGGTTTCGGTGGCTTCATCTTTGCTACACAATTTGCAGAAAGATGGCTTTGGTATTGATGTTTATGCATATACTTCTTTAATTACTGCATTTGCTCGTAATGGGAGGTATAGGGACGCGGTTATGGTTTACAAGAAAATGGAGGAGGAAGGGTGCCAACCTACTTTAATCACTTACAATGTGATTTTGAATGTTTATGGGAAAATGGGTATGCCTTGGAGTAGAATTTCAGCTGTGTTTGAAGGTATGAAGAACTCTGGAGTTGTTCCTGATGCTTATACCTATAATACTCTTATTACTTGTTGTCGTCGGGGATCATTGTATGAGGAAGCTAGGCAGATTTTCGAGGAGATGAAACTAGGAGGTTTTCTGCCCGATAAGGTTACATACAATGCGCTGTTAGATGTGTATGGGAGGTCTAGGAGGCCAAAAGAAGCTATGGAGGTTTTACGAGAGATGGAGGTGCATGGGTTTTCGCCCAGCATTGTGACTTACAATTCTTTGGTATCTGCTTATGCTAGGGATGGTCTGATGGAGGAAGCAATGGAGCTGAAAGCCAAGATGATAGATAAAGGGATTAAGCCTGATGTCTTTACATATACCACCTTATTCTCCGGATTTGAGAAGGCTGGGAAGGATGAATCTGCAATGAGAATATTTGAGGAGATGACAAGTGCAGGGTGTAAACCAAACATCTGCACTTTCAATGCTCTTATTAAGATGTATGGAAACAGGGGAAAATTCACCGAAATGATGAAGGTTTTTGATGATATCAGGACGTTTGGTTGTTCCCCAGATATTGTCACTTGGAATACACTCCTAGCCGTATTTGGACAGAATGGAATGGATTCAGAAGTCACTGGAGTGTTCAAAGAAATGAAGCGAGCAGGGTTTGTTGCTGAGCGGGACACCTTCAACACCTTAATTGGTGCTTACAGTCGTTGTGGAGCTTTTGATCAAGCTATGGTCATTTACAGGAGAATGATAGATGCAGGGGTCACTCCCGATCTCTCCACCTATAATGCTGTTCTAGCAGCATTGGCTCGGGGAGGGCTATGGGAACAGTCTGAGAAAGTACTTGCAGAAATGAAAGATGGTCGTTGTAAACCCAATGAGCTAACGTACAGTTCCTTACTTCATGCATATGCTAATGGGAAAGAGATTGACAGGATTCATTCTCTTGCAGAAGAGATATACTCTTCTGTAATCCAACCTCATGTTGTGCTTCTGAAGACCCTTGTATTAGTTTATAGCAAAAGCGATCTTTTAGTGGAGACTGAACGAGCTTTTTTTGAGTTACGAAGTAGAGGTTTCTCGCCAGACATAACCACCTTAAATGCCATGCTTTCTATATATGGTCGGAAGCAAATGGTTACAAAGGCAGCTGAGATCATGAACTTCATGAATGATACTGGTTACACTCCTAGCTTGACTACATATAATAGTTTGATGTATATGTACAGCCGGTCTAGCAATTACGAGAAATCAGAGCAACTGCTAATGGAAATTATAGCAAAAGGAGTCCGGCCTGATGTTATTTCGTTTAACACAGTAATCTATGCTTATTGTAGAAATGGGCGGATGAGAGACGCCTCACGAATCTTTACAGAAATGAAGGAATCTGGAATTGTTCCTGATGTGATCACATATAATACGTTTGTTTCAAGGTATGCAGCTGATGCAATGTTTATTGATGCCATTGAAGTGGTTCGTTACATGATCAAACAAGGTTGTAAGCCGAATGATAGCACATATAACTCCATTATCGACTCATATTGTAAACTCAACCGGAGAGATGAAGCTCTGGCTTTTATTAACAACCTCCGTAAGCTTAATCCTCACGTTTCTAAGGAAGAAGAGACTAGATTATCAGCGAGATTGATGAAGAAATGAGTTTTTTTTTTAATGGATTATAGTTTAGTAGCAATGCCGTTTTGTTGTATTCTCTTCCTTTTTTCCATGTTATATACATGTACACTGCGAAAATACGAGTGGTGTGCTAATTGCTGTATATATAGGTTCTTTTACAATCTAGGAGATCCTTGTTACTTTGTGATGCTTTGGAGTTTGCTTGGAATAGGCAAGGTTTGATACTAAAGGGTAACCATAGTGGCTAGGTTTTGATTAAGCTCTTAGTTAAATTATGACAATAAAAATAAATGCAAACTTGTTAATAATCCATCTTTTGTTTAATTGAGATTTTGTTAACCTTTCAATTCGCAAGTGCATTGCCATTAATACATAAATATGAACTTTAACTTGGCATCAATTGGCAACTATGACCTTTAACTTTGTATGTGCACAAATAGACAATTAAACTTGTATAAAATTGAGCTAATAGACACATTTGTCCTACATGGCAATTTCATGTAGGACACGTGTGTTTACTTGTTCAATTTTATACAAGTTTAACTGTCTACTTGTGTACACTCAAAATTGGAAGGCATAGTTGTTCGCCGAAGTCAAGTTAAGGGTCATGTATTATACCTATTTTTTACCATATGCATTATATCAACGCAGGATAAGTGTTAGATTGTGGATAACTTTTTTGAAGAATCCCCAATGATTTTAGATTAGTGTAAATTTATGAATAGAGAGACCACATAACTGTAACTACAAGATAGAGAGGTAATCTGATTCTCACCTTATTCAACTCTTTGCACAGCAAGAATGCAAAATACAACAAAACCTGGGGATTTTCAGAAAACTTCCCTACCTAAAAATTGTCAGGTCAAAATAACAGGAGTCCTTTTTTGCACTATATTTCTCAAGCACAATCCGTCTGAAAGAACAAAACAATGGGTTTGGTCAACTGAACTTCTGCTCTCGATTCATCCAATCAGCAACCCATTACCCCGGTTTATCTACATCAAACCTGTATTTTCTCCATGTAATACTCTGTTTCTGTCGCTATTTCCCTATACAGTAACATTATATACTGAATATACCATCCTCTTGTTGCGGTTTCGGGCAGTTCAAAAAGCTTCAATCACTTGGTTCTCCTCAGCATCATTTGAATTAAATGAGAAAATGTCTACAGGTGCAGTGATAGAGCCAAGAGTGCCTTTGGAATGGAAGGATTCTTTCTGGTGATCAAGATAGATCACAATAACTGTTATATCATCATGGAAATAGCGCCTAATCCCCTTTTCTATCTTCTGTATGTCCCTGTACCTCATCTCCCTCTTCTTGGCAGCCTCCTGAAGGGCTGCACGCACCAGTCTCTTAGCTATTCCCTGCAAGTACATCAACCAAATAAACAGACAAGTCATAACAGGAATGTCTCATATCTTAACTACGACTTCTACAAATCAAAGAACTGGTTCACCAAAACAGGATGAGCTATACAAAAGTAAAAGTGGCAAAATTTCAATCCATGACAGGTTACACATACTCAAGCTTGCATTAAGTTGGCTGAAATGCTGAATGAAATATCTCTGACTACTTTTTAATGCCATGTACACTTTGATCCATAGGCAGATCTATGATATAAACTCAACATGTTCAACCTTTAAGTTTCTTAGCACTAAATTGAACTTATAGATTCAAAATTTAATAATTATTGAAAGTTGAATGGTTTTAAACATATATAATTATGTTCCGTGATAAAATATACTGAGTTCAATTTAACCCATAGATTATAAGCTCCAACCACCTGACTTTACCACTATGCATAAATGCAAACATTTCCATTAGTTCACCAGGAGACAAGGGTGAAACAATTGGAACTTACAGCTCTTGGGTTTTTAAATACTATCTCCACAGCTGATTGATCACTTAATTGTTCCCAGAGGCCATCAGAAGCAAATATAAGGAATAAGTCGTGAGGCCTTATACTTCTTGTAACAATTGAAGGCTCTGCTGTCAGTACAGGCCGCTTCAGAGGTACAAGATTCCCAAATCGTTGGAAGATAGGATCCCTGTTAAATTCAGGTTTCTTCAAATAGGCGTCCCCAATAGATCTTGAGACCTGCAAATTAAGATGTATAAGTTAGCATCGTCTGAAAATTTCCAGTAGACCGCACAAGACTGGAGAGAAAACGAACAAATGACTACAAATATTCCTTGTTACACTCCTAGAATAATGTCCCTGCTTTTTATCAGCAGAAAACATACAGAATCTATGTCTAATAGTTAGATAACCATCACAGGAATCCAGAGCCTTTAAAATCACAACTCATTGCTTTATAAAATCTTCATGGGCGTCTCATGTAGGGAACACAGACTTCCTCTAACTTGAACTACGTGAAACAGTGGATCAAGAGGCATAGCGTGTGATTCCTAGAAGAGTAGGAAGATATAAAGCCTTGAGAACACGTAGGACAAAGATACACAGAAATTTCCTATCGGTATGCACACAAAATAATATGGAGCATAATTACCACAGTTTATATTCTGAAGCCTAAACTTTCCCAAGTCATACAATATACACAACTCATCTCATAAATTCAGGGCTCAGCAATTATGAACCTGACTGAAAGAGAGTAAAATATAACCACCATCAAACCAATAGGACAACCATCTAGGTTAGAGATGAGATTTGTGCAAAATAAAGATGAAACTAATGTTGTATAAGGAGGCCTACAAAAGATATAAGTACTACTAGATTAGTCGGAACAACATGAAGTCAGTACCGAGTAAAGTAAAAGCGCAAATTGTATAACCTAGACTATTCAGATAGAACATCATTCCCACCTGGAAAGTTCAAATTTCACATTACTCCAAATAATACATATTCTCACATTCAGAACACAGATACAACAACTTCAGTATTCATCAACTGAAATAACAAGAAAGATCACCTGAATTATGCCTTTAATTCTCCAAACACCTCGAATATATACCACTACATCCTGATCATCAGGATGAAGTGATTCAACTTCTTTCCGCACTTCCTCACATGAAACATTGTGATCAGTTGATAACCTTTCTGCAACCACAGAATTTTTTTCCGCATCAAAACCTCTGCGTCCTAGAACTGCCCTAGAATCTCCTAAATTAGCCACATACAATTCACCCTCAGAAATTGCACCAACCAAACAACATGATCCAACAGAAGCAATTTTTGGCATTACAGGCAATGATCTCTTCACCAATTGAATAAAATCCTCTTCTGTAGCATGAAATGCCCTCTTTATAACATCAGATGACAAACCCCCTTGCTCTTTCGAAAACTCTACAAATTCAAAACCAAAATCCCTCATAAAAGTTATTAACAGAAAACGATCCTTGACCGAAAATTGCAGAAACAAATCGTGACCCACGAAAGTATATAACAGGAAAAACTGAAAAACCACGCCAAAACAGAAGAAGACTACGCACTACGCAAATAAGAGAAGAGGGGTCTGTATAAACGAACGAACTTAAAGCAGAAATTTCAGAAACAAAGAGTGAATAGGGCACTAAAAACTGAAAAATCAGGTAAAAATAGAAGAAAATGACGTACTATGCAAATACGAAAAGAGGTGTCTGTTGACAAAACGGGAGGCTTCAGGTCCACCATGTCCATCATAAACACCAACATAGGTAGCAGAAGGAGAAGTAAATACTTGACTTTGGTCTTCAAGAGAAGAATTAGCTTGAACGACGGCGATAGAGAAGTCGCCGGAAGCATGAGGCTTTAAGTCCATATGCCATAAAAGGCCATCTCCGTTTATTCTCCCAAAACACCTCTCCAATGGCCTACAACAGGATCGCATCATCATACTCTTCTCTCCGATAATCAAAACTTATATAAACCACAATTTTGCAACAATTGTATAAAGGGATTAGTTCAGAGAAAGTATCGGAAAGAGTAGGCTGTTGCAATTCGAAAAGGAAGAAGTAAAGAGGGCCTTTACGCGTTTCTCTCTGTATTTATATACTCAACTTCTTTGTCACTTTCTAGAACAATTGGTTGTTCGTTTCAGTTTTTCCTAATGTGAGAGATTATTTCCGTGATTATAAATTATTTTAAATTTTCTTTTATAAATTATTAGTTACTTCTGAATGACATTTATTTAACATAAAAAGTTCGACACAGAAATTAAAACAAAGAATAATGTGGCTTTTGATCGAAAAAAAAAGAATAATGTGGCTGACTCAAACGTGAGAGGGATGCTTATCCTTCGTCACAATTCACAATCTTTATTGGTTACTTACCTGTTTGAATTATTTTTCTTTTTAATCAATTTTAAATTATTATTTTTTTCTGTTTTGGCAGTATTTTAATTTCAGTTTTTCATATAGCAGGTTGAAAATCAACATATTAATAGATATTTTGGTACATTTGATATAACTTCAATTTAGGATCACAAAATTAAAAGATTTTCTTTATTTTCTTAAACTTTATATCAGGTCAAACTAGATCATTAAAACGGAGAGAATATTATTTTACTAGCTTTAACTTACAATTAAAAAAATTATCATTCTAATTATTAGTATAAGTCAATTTAAGTTTAAGTTTATCATATAAAACAAATTTATACACTATTAAATCTCGGTGTACATAATTTATTTATTTAGAAACAAAGCAAACTGTCAAATAACTAGTTGTGTATCCGTTTACTTAGGAGATGAAATTTCAGGTAAGTTTTCTCTATCTCCGTGATTTACGTTACTAATAATCTGCAAATGACTCAAAATATTTATAGTTGATTAAATATTATTCTTAAATAAATTAAGTATCATATTTCATTTTTTGAAAAATAAACTACATTAATTTTTTTACTAATATTTTTAAATGTATTTTTTTATAACATTGGCATGAAAAAAGTTGCACTTTATAATGTTTTTTGTATTGTATTTGAACTTATAAATTTTGATTTAAAAACTTTTTATCAGTCTAATTCAATTTTAATTATAAAAATTATGTTAAATTGACTCAAGTGAAATATGATTAAATATAAGAAACTTTTATTATTTTGTCCGTTCACACTATATATATACTTCTTTGTCACGTTTTTTGGGTCATATTGTTTGATGCAATTGGATATTTATGAGTAAAGTCAGAAGTCAAGCTAAGGCAGTTGGATTTTTGGTAACAAAGCAATTTGTATTACCAAATAATTTGTATGATAAAATTTGTGTTTAATATTGATAATGTCTTGATCATAGTTAAGTTACGTCTAAAATGTAAAATCCAAACCATTTGGCAACAAAGCACTTTATTCTTCTTTTATAAAATATGCCACATTTTGACTTATTCTCTCTGTTTGATTTTATTTTGCAATACTTTTTAATTAGTCTATTTTAAAAAGTATATTTGTTTATTGAGGGTTTTTTTATAACTAATTGAATAAATTTTATGATTTAGTTAAAATTGTAATTTTAAAACTCTTATAATCACACAATTTTTTAAAAAGATTTAAGATCACATATTTTAAAGATTTTTTTTCTCTTTTTCAACTTTGAATTTGTACCAAATCAAACTAATCAAACAAATTGCATTAAAGGAATAGATGCTTTTGTACATGTGTGTCTTCATTAGTTATCTCCAATTTGGTAGATCTTCATCAATATCGTGGATATTTGAATTTGGAATGACAAAATTCAATTATTTTAAATAAAATAGTATTACCTCCGTCTCATATAAATTATCGCTTTAACTTTTTTCACGTTGTTCATTAAAAATACAAAGTACCGTATAATTACAAGTGTCAACATTAATCTTTAATTCTTAATATGACAATTGTTTTGAGATAATTTTTTATGCAAAAATAATACTTAAAATAAGACGAAATGAGTACCATATAGATTAGTTTAATTTAGATCTAACATAATCCAAGACCAACATTCTTCTATTTACTGGAATCTTCAAATATAATATTTTTTAATTCATTGGTCGTTAGGTAAATTTGCATATAGAGACAAACAAATTAACGACTAATTGTTTGTCTCAGAATAATAATTGAAAGTGCAGTGTTGGTGTCTGCCTTAATATTTAATTAGATCCACTGTACATATTTTATTGATTAATAAACTGCTGAGGTTTGAGTTCTTAAAATCGAAAAAAATCTTGGTCCATAACTTATCCTTTTAATGGACCTTAATCGATGTGTAACTCAAATTAATTGGAACAAAGCAGGAAAAAGAATATCGTATGAAAAATCACTATAAAAAGGAAATGAACATGTGGAGGGACTTGATATCGATTATCTATCTTTCTGTATTGTCTTTGAAAAATAGTCGCTATAAATTCCACAGGTAAAATTTGTCTAGCACTTACACCACGGCATGGATTGTTGACAAGACTTACTATTAATTATCAGTTTTTTTCTAAACAAAAACTTAGTGATACAAATAGAAAAAACACAATTAATTCCACCAAATATGGTTACCTTGTCAATTCAAGACTCAAGGGGTGTCAAAACATTGAAATAGGAATCTGACTAATTCAACAATGACATATTGATAGTTACACGAAACTTACAGACGTTTGTCGTCACCTAATTGTGACCCATATTTGTTAATAATTTCTCTAATTAGCATTGCTTAAGAAGAGACATAATATTTCATTTTGACCAAGTCTCACCAAAGCATCAAATTTGTAATATGGAGTCCCAAGGAGAAGGCAAGTAGTTTTTCCTGTTCTACTCATTTTATTAGAAAACTATCATTCAACCAACAAAAAGGTGGTGACAGTCATCAAAAAAGAACTTCACAGAAGAGAACACCATTCTAGTCAATGGTTGGCTTCACACCTTTCTTTGGCCCTACAAGAAGTTACATGTATAGCTGCTCGACAATATGGGCAGTCCCCACAAGTTCGTACCCATGGTTCCAAGCAACAAGGGTGATACCTATGCCCACAAGGTAAACATACTAGCTTGTCTCCCTCCAAGAAAGCATCCAGACATATGCTACAGTCAAGAACCACCCGGGCCTCTTCCTTGTCTGAGTTGCTGTAAATCCCAATATGCAATAAATCCATGGCTTCTTGACTCAGACCTGGGGGCCTCTCGTTTGCTCTTACCCAGATAAGATCAGGGCTGGGGGTTGTGCCAGCGAACCACAAACTAGAATCCGCTTTCCCAATCACTGGCATCAGCAAGTCTGAAATCATCCTCAACTGTAAAGTTGTTGCGATGGGAGCTTGTTGGGACCCCGTAACTTCGCCTAGCAGAAGTCAATATCAGCTTTCAATCAACACTTTTGAAGCTCCAATTAAATTGACAGTGCACATAACAATTTTCAACAGAAGATTAACTAAAAGTCTCTTTAGTTTAGCATAGAAGGTCCAAGTGACCCACAAAATTAGGGATGGCAATGGGGCGGTGCGGGGCCGGTTTTGTCAAACCAACAAAATTTTCAATCCGCCCCGCATAGCATTTTTTTCTATTCTCAATCCGCTACGCCCCACTTAAGTTTTTTTTTTTCTTATCTTATTATTTACATGTACAAATATTTCAAAGTTTATAAATCACAATTGTTATATTTAGAATAATTTAACAATTGATTTAAAACTATTTTATTGGGCTACTAACTAACAAAATTTTCCTTGATAACTATTTTATAAACCCGCTCCATTAAAATGTTCACTGCTCCCGTATTTGTCAATGCAGCATAGATGGGTGTCCATGTTTTTTTATTATATAAGGTTGGGACTTTCTTTTCAAAAATATGTTTTATCATTTTCTTTATTTAATAGAACATGATAGTTTATAATTTTTAGGAAATAAATTCTTTCATTATTTTATGATTGAATATATTACTCTTGCCTGAGGCATCTCGTGTAAATACATTTTAAATGTTCATTATTGCAAAGTTGTCTATCTCCTAGAGTTGCTCAAATGCAGATTGGAAAATTGCTTTAACAAAAATTGGAGAAGACTTGCACCCGCCCCCGCACATAATTTTAAAAAATCAAGATTTTGACCCGCCCTACCCCACACCCACGTAGAGATTGACCCGCCCCGCCCCATTGCCATCCCTACACGGAATGGAAGGACCAAGTTTAGCCAACATAGGACATCCTAAAACAGACAACTAGACCAACTTTGAATGATATCAAGCGCCAAACTGCTCATGTAAAATGAAAAAGAGGAATAGTGTTCCCAGAATTTAAATCATATTGTAATAACCACCAGAGCAACTTACAAACACTAGTGAGAAATCATGCTAATTGCTAACAAGACAACTATAATAGAAAACACAGACGTGTAAGACTGCTGGTGAATTGACATCCTAAAACATGTCCTTTAACTTCTACAATGAGGAGAACCATAGAGGAGGAAGCAGGGGCGGACCCACATGTGTTCCAGGGGTTCACCTGAACCCCCTCGGTAAAAAATAACACCGTATATATGGGGTAAATTTTTTGTATTTATGTGAATATATATATTTTGAACCCCTCAATGACATGGAAAATGAGATAGCCTAGCGGCAGGTTCCTTCATAACTAATCGTTACGTCCAGGGTTTCCCCTGGCAATAATCCTATGGTGAAAGTCAAGTCACTACAGGAAACTAACATATCCAGCCTTTTTCATCTGAACACGTGCTCATTTTGATATCCTAATGACCCAAACAAATTGATTTGAGGAATCAGAGAACAAAAAAGTTCATCAAGACCCAAGCAACTTCATGTATGCTTTATCAGAAATTTACCCACTTAGAAATGTACTCTCACCCATCTCCGAATTTATCTAATCAAAGGTTGATTTGTGGACATGCAATATCATAAACTACAATGGCCTGCCAAGAAAATCTCATACCATAGGGTTTAATGGATTCAAAATACCAACCTGTTTCCAGATATAGATACACCTCTCAATCTCTGTAGAAGTCTTTCCCTAGCAAGTAGTACAGCACCAGGGAGCCGCTCACTACCTGAGAT